CACCATTAGCGGTTTTGTCTTTGTGCGGACATCACAGAGTACACATACTTACACAGCCCTTGATGTGCACCGAGGTTGTACGGCATCATCTAATGGGACCCCTGTCACCTGTGCAGCCCGTCACTGACCAAGACGTCGTCATGTGGCACATGACTGTCTTAACAAATGCTATAAAAATAATTTGTTAACAACTTTTTTTAAATAATTTTATTTATTTATTTATCTATTTATTTTAATTTGACCAGAGAGACGCCGAGAGAGAGAGAGAGAGAGAGAAAGTGAGAAAGCAAGCCACCAGGTCCGGGACTTGAACCGAGGTTGGCCATGGGGGCGTGTCCAGCACCTTAACCACCACGCCACCTGCTGGTCCCATGTTAACAACTTCTTAACACAGTGCTATATGACACAAAATGGAAGAAACAATCTCTGCCCAAACCAACCTTCGTATCTCATATGTATGGACTTACTTATATCCATTTGGTTTCACAAGGAATCTGATCTACCCCTTATGAAATCCTTTCACATACTTATTTTTTCTCACAATAAACTTCCACTTTTAGCTTGTGTCTTGAAATAGTATGCTCTGTTTACAAAAGGAACACATGCTCATTCTAGTATATTAAAGGCATAAAAATATACAGAAAAGTAAAATTGCTCATACAAAAAAAAAAAGAAAAACTTGTCACTCCTCACATTAATAAACTTACCCTCTGAGATTTAACGTGGGTTGAGCAAGATTATACAGCTAATAACAATGAAGGGAGAGAGAAGAGGCCATTCCTCTTTATCCCAACATCTAAAATGCACTTCTCTAATCTGGACGTCTGCAAACTACAGCCCCTTGGGCAAAATCCAGCTGCGGCCAGCTTTTGTAAATAAAGTTTTATTGGAAACTCACTGTTTACTTGCTCTCTTCAGCTGCTTTCAGACTCTGACAGCAGAATTAATAGTTATGCAGTTGTAAAAGAATGTATGGCCTACAAAGTCCAACATACTTATTATCTGGCTCCTTTCAGAGAAAATCTTCTGACCTCTGCTCTAGTCTATTCCACTCTGGTTTCAGCAACATATTGTTAATGAGAAATAATGATTATCCCCCCTCCTGCCCCCAGGGAAAATTTCATGCATAGATACCTATACAGGTAAGAGGTAAAATAATAAAATCTTTTTTTTTTTTTTGAGAGGTTTTTGCTATAGGGCGCGTGCACTCGCCAGACAGACAGAGACATAGAGACAGAAAGTGAGAAATCACCCCCCAGGGGGGATGGTCACGCCGCAATCCCTTCTCCTCCATTCTCCTCTTGGGATCTTGGGCACGCACGCACACGCGCCCGGCGTGAGTTTTAAGCCACCGGGTCCAGGATGCGAACCGCGGTGGACTACATGGGAGTCCAGTGACATAGCCGTTACACTAACTGCTGGTTCCCAAAATAATAAAATCTTTAACATAAGGGACTGAATATCATGAGCTTTTGTTTCTAAGGTTTTTGTCATAAGGAGTGTGAGCTTGTCAGAGAGCCTGAGAGAGGAAAAGTGAGAAATCACCCCCCCAGAAGGAACGGCCATGCCACAATCCCTTCTTCTCGAGTCTCCTCTCAGAATTTTGGGCATGCATGCGCATACATCCAACATGATTTTCAAGCCACAAGGGTCCATTACTTGAACCACAGGCAGCCATGTGGGAGTCCAGAGCTTTAACCACTATACCACCTGCTAGTCCCTACCATGAACTTTTTTAAATATTTTTGAACGTTATAAGTCAAAACATCAAAATGTATATTTGAACCAGAGTCCTTTGCCAACTAAAATATTTAGTAAAGAGACAGAGTCATATGGGAGGCCTTGGGACATTCTGGATGGAGAAGTTAGTTACCGAGCAACTACATAGTCCCTCTCTCCCCCACAGCCCTAGCAATGTGTCCTCCTGGCTCCTTTGGTATAGCCAAAGACACCCTACCCAGCCCAACAAAGCCAACTCAACCAAACATGCTATCCATATTTATTTTACCTTCTTGATTTTTGTCACAACTAACTGCTAAATGAACTTGTATCTAGTTCATTTTCTTTAGAAGCAGTTAACTTGAAAAAATACTTAGACTTCTAAGAATATATCTATAACCCCTAGGCCTCTCTGTACTAGATAACATGTTTTTTCTAAAGGATATTCAACCATACATAGATAGAAGACAGACGCACACACTATTGAAATAAAAAGTTTGTGATTCCTCCTTCCCCAGTTAATAAAAAATACCCATCAACAATTCAATATTCCGTTGTGTCACTTTGCAGAGAGCTTACTTAATCAAACTCATTGTTTAATTGTCCTCATATGTTAATTCAAGGGCCTCAAAGGGATGCTTAAGGCAATAAAGTGTCAGTGAATGAAAGACCTAGGCCTGATTCATAATAAAATGTTGAAAGCTGCCCTGGCCTCTCTAGAACCTGATGACCATCTTATACAGTGTAATATACGTGAAAGAACTTTGCGACTTGTATTCATATTGCAGCACATTAGGAATCTGTCCAAGAATAAGTAAGATGGAAGGTGAAGAAAAAGCTCTCCTTGTGAAGTTCAATCACGAGAACTAGCTTAGAGACTGCCCCCGACTAGCTGTGTGGCCTTGGACAAGCCAGTGGATTCTCTGAGTTTTATCCCTCCTCAGCAACTTAGGAATAATCACATTTCAGGGCCTGACAGCTGATGTAAGGGAGCTGACATACAGCACTCAGCAAGTGTCAGTTCGCCCCCGGATTTGGACTGATATTTGATGTGGCAAAAAAACATTATATGGAAAATGTATGTGCAAATGAAAAACTTGTAACATGATCAGAATTTTCTTTAAACGAACACACACACACACGCACACACACACACACACACACACACACACACACACATCAGCAGTTTCCAATACTTTGACTCTAAATGTAAAAAGAGCTTCATGTCACAGAATTATCATTCTTATTCATCAGCAGATTCTATTTAAAACACATATATTTGTTTGCTGACCCATTATTTAAATACATTTAGCATTTATTAATAAAAAAGTAGTATTGAATTAAAGAGGTCAAGGAAAGCATAAGATTTCAGATGAGCTCTGAAGAGAGTCAGCCAGGCCAAGAACAAGAGGGGAAGAACAGGCAAGCTCCGTGGCCTGCACCAGGCCCCACATAGCCAACCAAGCAGTTCAAGTCCTGTACTCTGCTGCTGCTTGAGAAACACACCAGAAACATGTGCATACATGCCCAAAATCCCAAAAGGAAGGAAAGATGACAGAGAAAGGATTACAGGGTGACCATTCTCCATGGGGGGTGGGGAGGTTTTCCTCTCCTCTCTCTCTCTCTGACAAAAACACGCACCATTTAGGAAAACACCTATTAAAACTTACTATTGTTTTAAAGACGACAGGTTCTCCACCACATGTACAAAGTTCCTGAATCAAGGAAAAGTTTGCCAAAGTCCAAGACCTATAAGAAGTCCAATGTAGCTACACTATAGAAAGCAACACAACGGTGGTATCACAAGAACATGTCCAGAAACACAGAAGCTACTTTACACACTATGAGGAGAACACTGAAAAATGGAGACAACGGGCCCTGATTTTTTTTTAAAGGAAAAAAAAAAATCACTGGTTGTTTGAAATATGGGTTCAATAAGGATGAAGTAGAAATAATGTAACGTAGTTAGGAAGCTACTTGAGTGGAGAAGGCAAGAAATGCTAATGTTTGATACTGCCTAGTACAAGCAGAGACAGGGAGCACACCTTCATGATTATTAGATGGGGAAATGCGATGGGACAGAGGGTCCTAGGTGTCCAGAGCTGGATTTAATCAATTAGTACATGGTGGTGCCATTCCTTACGTGCAGAAACCTGGGCAAGGGATATGGTGCACAGACAGGAGGAGATAAAATAGTGACAGACAGCTGGCTCTATGCACATAGGGAGGTGCACATGGTATTAGAACAATATAAAAAAGTGCCTTCAAAAAGTTCATGGAAAAGTGGATTATAAAAAAACTATGCATGGATTTCAAAATTGTTCTGCACCAAAATAAACCTGTACTTGAATTCCAGTTTTTCACTAACTTGTTTGAACCCCACTGATACAGAAAAGCTGTCATCTTGAAAACAGAAAAGATGACTTAAGAAGAAAATATACCTGAGAATAAAAGTAGACAGACATACTGAGTGCTTATCATATAATGGATATGGGTTAAGAGCATTACAAGTATTTATCTTATTGAATTCGCCCAATAGCCATCTTTCTATTTTACAATGAGGAAATAAGGTCACACTGCTAATAACTGGATCACTAAATCTGATTCCAGATTGAGGTACTGCACCATTCTCTCTCACCAGAAGAGAAAAAAGAAGGCCCCATGTAAGATCCCAAGGGACTCAAGTGATTTCCAGTTTAGCAAAATAAGAACAGCCAGCAAAGGACAGGGAGAAAGAACACCATGAGAGTGTAATGTAGAGATGACAGAAGTATGGGATTTCCATACAGGCATGAAAAGAACATTCTCTCAAAAATTGCTAAGAGGGATGAAAGTGGTTGGGAATATTAACAAAAGTAGTTCAGTGGGATAAGTGGGGACAGAAACCAGATTGAAAAAAGTTAAGAGTAAATCTAAATTCTGTTCCTAGAGGGCTGGGTGGTAGCATGGCAGTAACACAATGCCCCACAAGGCTGATGCACATGAGAATGAAATCCAGTGAACTCCTTGAATACACCAAGTGGTACCCATGATATAGGACTGGCTGAAGCTGGGGGTGGATCATAGCATGAGGACCATGTTGAGAGTGCTTTGACTCCCTGTCTCTCACACTCATGGAAGAAAAATACATAATTTTTTTAAAGTTTAAAAAGAAATTATATTTCTATAATATAGCAAACATGCTCTGAAGACCTCTCACACTATAAAAGAAGCAAGGTCTTGGAGAAATCGAAACAACTTTTAGAACAGCAGCCCACCCCGCCATCAGAACCATGTGCGCCATGAACCATGCTTCCCAAACCTTCTTCCCTCACGCCAGCACCGGCCCTCCCCCAAACTATGAGATGCTCAAGGAAGAGCACGAGGCGTCTGTGCTGGGGGCGTCCCCGCCCGCAGCTCCAGTGACGTCCACCGTGAACAACATCTGCAGGGAGACCTCAGTGCCCACCCATGTGGTCTGGTCCCTGTTCAACATGATCTTCATGAACTACTGCTGCCTGGGCTTCATCATGTTCGCCTACTCCGTGAAGTCTAGGGACAGGAAGATGGTGGGCGACGTGATCGGGGCCCAGAACTACGCCTCCACCGCCAAATGCCTGCACATCTTCGCCCTGGTCCTCGGCATCATTTTGATTGTCATATTCATCATCCTTTGCACTGCAGCTCCAGTAATAATTGCAGATATGATTCTGCTGATGAAAGAGTCTTTCCAACACTCATAGTCAATGGCCGTGGCCTGCAGCCATGTCCACCACCACTGCTGGCCTGTCCCCGGGGCCTTCGGGCCTACCCCTTGCTTTTCTACAGCCACTTCTACTCACTTTGACTACAGTGGGAGTCAATAAAGTGCACGTGTTTGTAAAAAAAAAAAAAGGAACAAGGTCTTACATTAAAAACATTTCTACAAAGCATGAATATAGGAAATAAGAAAATGTGGAAGGTAACAAAACAAAACTTGAGATTTTAGTAGTAAAAGGTAGATGTAAGCAGCAGGGATGCCTTGAGGACAAATGCTAGCATTAGTACTGAGATAAGAAGACTAGCCACTGGGTCTGGCCAGGTTGGGGAACTAAGTAAGATATTCTTGGTCAGGAAAGAGACTCGGTAAAGGAAACCATTTTCACTTTGGAGTCCCAGATTTTCAGATCTTCAATGACCAACAGATACGAAATTCTAAGTATAAAACACAAAGGGGGAAAAAAAAACTAAGTGACTGTCAGTAGAAACAACCAGACTTTTTCCAATCTATGAAGCTAGACTCTTTTTAAACCTATGGACTTTAGATATTGGGATTATCCTAAACTAGCTAATAAAACTTGTATTTTATTTTTAAATTAAAAATAAAGAAAAATGAACAAAAATTTAAAAATGTTTAAAGATTATCAGGCACAACTGATTGATTGGAGAGAGAAAGAGAGGCACTCCCAATAAGATCTTCATGCTGTGATTCACCCCTAGCCTCAGCTAACCTGGAACACAGGCACACACATGCCTGGCATGTAGAAGACGATACTGGGCTGCAAACCTGGGGCCTTGCGTTTGTTATCACTGCACCACTTCCTGGCCTCAAGCATAATTTTAAAGAATCAAAAAGAAGTATTATAAGTGAAAAAAATAAATAATTAAATCAATGCATTAAATATCACATTGGACAAAGCTGAAGAAACAGTGAACTAGAAGATAAACTTTTAAAAAATTATGCAGAATGCCACAGAGACAAGGGAAAAGCAAGTACCAGGAAGAAGAGAAATGGAGAGCAGAAGAGAATGTCTAGCATACATTCAATGAGAGTCCCCAAAGAAGAGAAGGGAATGAATGAAGGGCTCAGAATATTTGACAAAGTAAATTCTGGCAATGTTTCTTAATTGGAGGAAGAAATAAAGCCAAAGATGCACAAAGAGCAACGTATGACAAGTAAAATTAAGAAAATCTCACACAGATACATCAAGATGAAATTGCAAAATACTAAAAAGAAGTCTAGGAAAAGGTGGATCTCTTAGAAGGGAATACCAATTAGATGGACACCAGACTTCTCACAAGCCACAATGATAGAGAAGAAAATGGAAGAAAAATCATCAGAGTAAGGAGAGAAAACGTAACAGCCAGCAACTGTGTATCCTGGAACCTTATCTTTCAAGAACAAAAGTAAGGACATTTTGGTCAAACAAAATACAAAGTTGACCTCCAGCATTCGTATACCATAAAACATTCACTAAATATAAATATGATCCTCTAAAGGAGATATGAGATGAAAGAGAAAGAAATTAATAAGCTGGTAAATCTAAGCATTGTCTAATAATAGTAATATCTAACCTGCAAAAATTATTTAACAGGTAAAAATAAAAAGACTTCTAGATTATGGAATAATGGGATGAATAGTCTTCTCTGGTCCTAAAATTGTTTGAAAAGAAAGATGAGACTATAGATAAATTTAGACTTTTTCCAGGTAACTATGCACAGTAAAGTCTCAAACACAACCACCAAAAGGACAAAAATAAATTCAAAACAACGGAAGAGAAAAAAGAAATAAAAAATTAAAACTTTAACCAACTGTTTTAAAGAAAAAGAGAGAAAGAAGAAAAAAAGCATAAAAACTCAAATTGGGGCTGGCATTTGGTGTGGTGGTTAAGGGTGCTAGACTCCCACATGGCTGACCGGCTGACCGTGGTTTGAGTCCCAGACCTGTTGGTTTCCTTTCTTTTTTTGAAGAGGTGTGCGCTCGCCATAAAGAGAGACAGAGAGATAGAAAGCAAGAAATCACCCCCCAGGGGGGATGGCCACGCCGCAATCCCTTCTCCTCCATTCTCCTCTTGGGATCTTGGGCACGCATGCACATGCCCCCGGCGTGAGTTCAAGCCTCCAGGTCCAGGACTCAAACCACGGTGGACTACATGGGAGTCCAGTGACATAGCCAGTACACTAACTGCTGGTCCCTGTTGGCTTCCTTTCTCACTTCCCCTCTCTCTTTGTCCCTCTCTGGTTGAATTAAAATAAATAAATAAAGTTAAATAAAATAATCAAGAAAAAAATTAAAACAAATAGAATTTAGATATCAGGAATTTTGGAGCTTTATGTTACGCAGCTCCAAGAGGCACCATTTGCATTATACTCTATGTAAGAGGCTCAAAATGAAATACAAAAATGTAAATGTCAATTATCTTATGTCAATTGATTCAATTAAAATGAAAGTTGTAAAATTAAATTTGTAACTGACATACCTAAAACATAAAACATGCAATGGTAAAATAAAAGGTTAAAAAGTTGATACAGTAGATAAATAGTAGCCAAAAAGGAGTATAAGATAAACACGTAACTTCATGAAGAACATTTTTAAATTATAATTAGAAATTTAAAAATATATCAGGATCTGAAAAAAGGAGCGACATATCAGGAGAGATAACCCTTAAAAACATTATAATTCTCCCCAATTTGATCTCTAGTTTCCATGCCAGTTCAGTAAAAATGCCTAAAAGCATGTCAAAGACTTTGAGAAAATTATTTATTTATTTTTGAAAAAGATTTTTACTATAGGGCATATGCACTCACTGAAGAGACAGAGAGGCAGAAAGTGAAAAATAACCCCCAAGGAGGGATGGCCACGCTGCAATCCCTTCTCCTCCATTCTCCTCTCAAGATTTTGAGCATACTTGCACATGTGCCCAGTGTGTTTCAAGTTGCTGGGTCCGGGATTTGAACTGTGGTCAACGACATGGGAGTCCAGTACCTTAACCACTACACCACCTGTTGGCCTCAAGAAAATAATTTTTAAATTTATGAGGAAAAAGACAGGCCCCAAAATACCCAAAATAAAAGGTCAGGAGAAAGGAGGAAGAAGAACAAAACCATTACAATGTGATACTGAGACAAAGGGAGACAAACTGACCAAAGAGTAGAATAAAGTACACAGAATGAAAAGCTTCTCACAAATGGACATTTAAAACACTACGGAAGTATCCCTGTAGATGACTGGGTGGGGTGGAGGTGTGGAGATTTTTCAATGAACGATCCTAGAACAGAAGTTTTTCTAGACACTAATGGAAAAGTCCACTTGGACTCCTAGTTCCCACTCTACACAAAATCAATACCAATTGTACTGAAAACTTAAATATGAAAAAGAAAACCATGAAATCTTTTAAGAAGAAACGTACAAGACAATACATGCATGACTTAGGGTAGAGAAGGATTTTCCAACCATGACGCAAAACATATAAAGGGAAGAATATAATGCAACTACATTAAATTTAAGGACTTCTCTTCATCGAAGGTATTGCAAAGAGAGTGGAAAATCAGGTCATGGGGGCCAGAAGATAGTGTGGTGGTTAAGGTGCTGGATCCCACATGGCTAAATCTGCAGTTTGAGTCTCAGACCCAGCATCTTAAAAAACACACCAGGCACATACATACATGCATGTCAAAAACCCAAAGAGGAAATGAAGAAGGATTGTGGTATGGCCATCTGCCCTAGGGGGTAATTTCTCACTTTCCCTCTCTCTGTGTCTGTACTTGAAGAGCATACATGCCCCATATTTATTAAAAATGTAAAAATCAGGTTATAAAACAAGGGAAGGTATTAGTAACAAGTAAGACTAAAAAAGAATTATTATCCAAAAATAAACACCTCCAAACAGATAAGGAAAAAATAAACCCAATAGAAAATAGAAGAGGTGGGGTGGGACTCCACAGAGAAACAAACATGAAATGATAATAAATAAGTATAGACCTCATATTATGGCTTGTTCCCCACAGGTTCATGTTTTGGAATTTGGTACCCAGGTAATGGTGGTGGGAGGCAGGGTCTAGCAGGCAGTGACTGGATCATGGAGGCACCACTTTCATTGATGGATTAAGGATGTCTCCCAAGACCCATTGAGCTCTGACTCTTGTGAGAAAGTGTTAGCTCTCAAGAGGGTGGGTTGTTACAAAAGAAAGATGTCTGCTCCCAGGTCTCTCTATGCCCACATGCCCACCATCCTCTCTCTTTTTTGGTCATGGTGTATTTATAGCTCCACATCTTTGACCTTGCACCCACCAAAATAATAAGCAAAACAAACCTCTGACCTTTACACATCACCCAAACTCAGGAATCTCTGTAAGCAGGATAAGGGACTCTGACACCTCATTATCAAGGAAATGCAAATTAAGACCACAATGACATACATGTTGCATGTACACGTAATAGACTGATACAAATTAAGAAACTTGGTTAACACAAAAGGAGGGTAGAGATATGCACTAATAGCGATAATTTTATGCTGAGTGGGTTTGCAGGTTAGTAAAACACTTTGGAAAACAACTTGATATTAACTTGTCACGTTAGGATTTTCATATAACTCTATAACGATTCTACCTATGAGTAGAATCGTTGGGTTAGCCATGTGGGATCTAGCACCTTAACCACCATATCTGCTTATAGATTACCTATCCCACAGTAAATGTCTTAAACAAGTGTATCAAGAAAGATGTACAAGAAAGTATATAGAGGGAACCAGCAGTTAGCGTAATGGCTATGTCGCTGGCCTCCCACGTAGTCAACCGCGGTTCGCGTCTCGGACCCGGTGGCTTAAATCTCACGCCGGGCGCGTGTGCGTGCGTGCCCAAGATCCCGAGAGGAGAATGGAGGAGAAGGGATTGCGGCGTGACCATCCCCCCTGGGGGGTGATTTCTCGCTTTCTGTCTCTCTGTCTCTCTCTGTCTGTCTGGCGAGCGCACGCGCCCTATAGCG